TCATCAAATTATTTTCACTCTACTGCATATCATGAGATTCCGGTTCTTAGTATTTATTAAAGCCGTTGTTATCTTTATTACCATCGCCTTTCTCTTATCGAATTCTTCCACTTCCTCCTTCCAACTCCTCCCCTTTCGCTACCTCTCTCAACCCGCCATGCAACACTTTCAACAAAAGCGCAATTTACATTTTTCCCTTTCCTTTGCACGTTGAGATAACAATCTCCATTTCATCCCCATTATCTAATTGCACTGATAAAGTAATTAACGTTATCTTAATTCCGGTAGAGTCACCTCGCGTGTCTTGCTCAATTGATTTGCTCTTCTGACGAGTCTCGGGGCTGACTCACGGGTCGTGACTTGTGACTTATGACTTGTGACTCGATGGCCCTTTGTTCCTCTGGGTCGAAGGGTCTTCCGCCTCCCCCCCTTCCCTGCCACACACACACACGCGCGCGCGCACAGAGACAGATCTGATCTACCATGCATTTTTGGAACCATCGTTGTAGATAACTATCTGTCACATGTATGTATTACATTCACGTAAAGGCATGCAGTAGGAAACAATGTTTGTCTCTTGAATAATTTATGATTCAGCCATCAGATTAGCCTTATTCCCCTGGGGGATCAGTAAGTGAATGAGGGAGGCGGGGGGGGGGGGATACAGCCATTAGGAGTGTCATAAAATTCGGAGTTGGATACGAATGTACCGTGCACTCACACACACACGCACACGAACACGCACACGCACACGCTCACGCGCGCGCGCACACACACACACACACACACACACACACACACACACACACACACACACACACACACACACACGACTTCATCTGCGTGTCTAGGTTATATAAGTATTCAGAACTTGAAACATAATCGAGTGCAACGTATATCCTAAAAGCGAGACAAGTATGGTCCACGTTGTATAACTCTGCGGAGACTCAACTCCAGCTTTCACTTAAGCAAAAGTAACGAGAGCAGAGACAAGATAAATCATATCAGTACTTCTGATTGCAAAACATATCAGACAAAAACAAGAGGGTGATAGATTTATAAGGTAGCTAATATCAACAACAGCTTTCTATGGATCTGATATGTGAATCTAAAGAGGTTTAAACACCCTTTTGCTTTTCAAAAGGGATTCACCCCGTATATAGCCCCATTGACGAGTCTCCAGAGAAACTTTACTCATGATTTAGTGTTTATATATTCTTTCAAATCTAAAATTCCATCTTTTACGAGTTTTTTAAGTTACTGGAGTTACATGTGTGGGAGTACGTAGGATATATTTCAATTCGTATTTAATACCTTTTTATGTACCCAGTGCCAGATATCAGTATAATCATATTTTCATTTCTCTATATCCTTTTTTTCCCTTTGGTGTGAGTGGAAAGTTGGTAACACTATTGCAAGAAACCACTCAAGGCGACAACTCGGTACTGTTACAAAAACTATATCTTGTTTTTTGCTGTGTACTTGGCTCTCAATATTGCAGCGGTAGGAAGAGTATGGGAGGAGGGAGAAGTGGAAAAAAGAAGAGAGGGATTAGTGATATGAATGTAGATAGAGAGGGAGATTGAGAAAGAGGGGGGGGGGAGAGGGAGAGAGAGAGAGAGAGATGGAGATAGATAGATAGATAGATAGAAAGAGATATAGAGAGATAGTTAAAGAGACAGAGAGGAGAGAGAGAGAGAGAGAGAGAAGAGAGAGAGAGAGAGAGAGAGAGAGAAGAGAGAGAGAGAGAGAGAGAGAGAGAGAGAGATTAAAGGATACTTAAAGGAATATCTATCTATTTTTATACCACACACAAAAAAAATCCTCACAGTAAAATGATAATGATATATATAAATGCAGACAGATAAGTAATTAATAAATATAATGAACAAATGTTAATAATACCAGTAAATTACATCCACACAATTGACAACCTCAGAATCAAATCATTTGAGGTGATAATCACAAGAATAGTGATAAAGATGATACTAACAATACCAATAACAATGTATGAAATAAAACAAAATTAAGAAGGAAAACACAAAAGAAAAAAAAAATGTCCACTAAGAAGGGGAAATATATCCCAAATAATCAGTTTGACCTTCGGCGGGCGTGACCCGTTGGAGAAATGACCTCGGAATATGTGGCAGCGGGTTGACCCCCCCCCCCCCCCGCGACAGCCTCTAATCCCCTGCTCGTCCGCTTGAAGTTTCCTAATCCGTTAAAAGTTGGTGTGTATTTGCCCTTCCTCGGTCGCTCGTCTCGAGTATTTGACGCTGACTAATCCTGTGTGTGTGTGTGTGTTCTGTTTTTTTTCTTTTTTTTTTTTGCTTGATATTTTTGTATTTGTATGTTTGTGTTTTTGTTAGGCTGATATTGTTTGGGTCTCTCTCTCTCTCTCTCTCTCTCTCTCTCTCTCTCTCTCTCTCTCTCTCTCTCTCTCTCTCTCTCTCTCTCTCTCTCTCCCCCCCCTCTCTCTCTCCATCTTTTCCCTTTCTCT